GCACAGTGGAAGAGAGCTGTCCAGCCAGAACACCTGTGCTCCTGTGTAAGTGAAAAATAAATCTTTATTGTGTTAAATCACTGAAATATGGGGCAATTTATTATAGAAGTTAGCTCATTATAAAAGTACATATATATTAAAACACATAAGCACATAATTATATGTATATACAAAAGATATATACATGTACAAAGATATACTGAACACATCAGAGTGTATGCCTGGGAAAGGGAGATGAATGAGAATGAAGATCAGGGATCAAAAGAAAATAAAACAAGAAAGAGACCTGATGATGGGAGTTTAACTATTAAGGAATAAAGAATAATAATTTAAAATGAAGAAAATTGCCCTGGCCTGGTAGCTCAGTTGGTTAGAGTATTATTCTGATACACCAAGGTTTTGGGTTCAATCCCTGGTCAGGATACATAAAAGAATCAACCCAATGGCCCAGCCAGTGTGGCTCAGTGGATTGAGCATCGTCCCATGAACTGAGAGGTCCCAGTTTCATTCCCAGTCAGAACACATGCCCAGGTTGCTGGCTCAATTCCTAGTCGGGAACGTGCAGGAAGAAGCCAATTCATATTTTTCTCTCACATCGATGTTTCTCTCTCTCTCCCAAATCAATTCGTAATAAAATAAAAGGGAAAAATCTACCCTTTCCAGAGAGAGCTCAGGCTAGTTTGCTGGTATTTTCTACCTTGAGGAGTACAGAATGGTTCTGGAGAGGAGGCAATGTTGAAGACAGAGAGTTGTCCACCAGGAGAGTCTCAGGCCTGAAAAGTTCCTTAAACTGAGGATTTCTCTCGTCTGACCTTTACTCTCATCTCTTCCTGGTAGTGGTGATGCTGGAGGCACTTGCCATTCTCCAGACATTGGGCCTGGACCTGGCCACCTTCTACTAGGCACCAGGCTGAGGAAGGCTGGACAAAGCATAGAGGCTCATTCTGGGCCTGGGTACATCCTGACTACCCTCCATCTCTGACTGTGGTTGAATAATGGCCCCTCCTCCAAAGATAGTCATGTCTTAATTCCCAGAACCTGTTAGTATCTTGCTTTATATGGCAAAAGGGACTTTGAAGATATGGTTAAATTAAGAATCTTGAGCCCTGGCCAGTTTGGCTCAGCGGTTAGAGCGTCGGCCTGCGGTCTGGAGAGACCCGGTTCGGTTCCCGCTAAGGGCATGTACCTCGGTTGCAGTTTGTCCCCGGCCCTGGTTGGTCGTGCGGGTGGCAGCCACTCGATGTGTCCCTTCACGTCGATGTTTCTCTCTCTCTCTCCCTTCCTCTCTCTCCCTCCCACTCTATCTGTACAAAAAATGGAAAAATATCCTCGGGTGAGGATAAAAAAAAAAAAAAAAGAATCTTGAGATGGAGAGATGATCCAGGATTTTCTCAGTGGGCCCAGTGTAATTACAAGGACATGTAATCACAAGGTAAGCCTCACAAGAAGAAACAGGAGAATCAGAGAAAGAAGATATAAGGATGGAAGCTGAGGTTAGAGGAGTGAAGATGATGGCGGAAGGGCCATGAACCAAGGAATGTAAGCAGCCTCTAGAACCTAGAAAAGGCAAAGAAATGGATTCTCCCCTAGAAACTCCAGAAGAAATGCAAGATTGTCAACACTTTGACTTTTAATTTAGCCCAATGAAACTGATTTTGGACCTGTGACCTCCAGAACTCTAAGATGATACATTTGTTGTGTTTTAAGCAATTAAGTTTATGATAATTCATTACAGCAATAGGAAACTAGTATGTTGGCCCTGCTACTGGGCAGCACTAATCTGCTCTCCTAGGAAAGTAAGGTCTATGAGAATGGGAAGTAGAGAATCAGAGATCTCCTAGAATCCCCTGCAGTAAAACTGAACTACATTCTTATTACCATTCATTTATTACTTATATGATCTTAAGCAAATGTCTAAGCAACAATACAATGTTAATGCATTTTTACAGGGCTGGACGAAGAGAGGTAAAGAGCGAGGTGGAATTGGGGACATCTGTAATACTAACAATTTTAAAAAATAAGGAAAAAAAGAGTTAAATGTTTTAAATTACCTATTATTACCTAATCACCCACTTAAAATATATGTCACATCTCCTTGTGAGTTTACACACATTCATTCATTCCTCCATTCAGTCACCAGGTGTCACTGAATGCCCAATATGTTCCTGGCACCATGCACACAGTGAGCTTGTGTCCACTACAAGCCCCAGTCATTTCTCATCTAAGTTGCCACTAAGCTTCCAGTCAGTCCAGTGCTCAACTTCACTGCCCCCATCCTAAATGAAGACCTTTATACTTACCCGCTCACATGGTCTTGTGTCTCCCTGATGTACCCATCCCAGCCAGCACCACCCCTTATCCTCCCAGGCACTGTTTCTGTAGCTGTCAAGTCTAATCTCTGCCTTTACCATGAGCCCTGACAAAAGCCCGGGCCCACTTGGACAGTATGCTCCCTCTGATCATGCTTTCAACACTCCACTTTCATTTCACTATCTCTTCTCTCTCCTTTTCCTCCCTTCTGTTTCTTTGAGCTAGCAAACTGGTCCTCCTAGTAACCTAGGAAGGTCTAAATTAACAGGGGAGCTAGGCCTCAAGCAGCCAGTTCAGGGGCAGGTAGGAGAGACCAAGGATGTGTATTTACTGGGTTCCTGAACTTCTCTGGTAGTGAAATGGGTCTAAAGTATTAAGACAGGATGCCCCGACCTATCTGGAGTGCCCAGGTATCCCAACTCATGGGAAAATTGTGTTCAGTCCTTTTGGGCTTGGGTGGTGTTGAGGTTGGGGAACAGTCTGGTCAAATGATGGAACTGTGGGCAAGCAGGTGATCTGGGTTCTCTAACCTAGGCTTTGCCATGGATTTAACATGGATGACACTGGGGAAGTCTCTGACCTCTCTAGGCTTGTTTCTCCAGCCTGTCTGTGCACTTAGGGGGCTGTTCTTCTGTAAGGCTGTATTTGAATTTGGAGGTTCCACCCAGCTACTATGGCAATGATGCACAATGGCCACAAGATGGCAGGCAACTTCTTCACCTCAGAAGTTTGTAGACAAAAACAAGCTTCAAAAGGAAATACAAGGTAGTTACCTAAGGGCACACTACAAAATGGCAAAAGAGTAAGAATTGGAAATGGGTATTTAAATTTCTAGCCTGGGGGTGGGGAGGTCAAGAGCCCCAAGACCACGAGGGGTGGTAAGGAGAGGACTGGTGGGCAGCAGAAGAGAGGCTAAGAATATATTTTAATGATTTCGATCTCATTGAGATGGGAGGAGAGAGGGTCTTTAGGGGGCAGCCATGGACTGAATGTATTGCTCCATAATGATTGGGGTACAGAATAAGATTTGAGGAGTTTAGGGGAAGTGGAGATGATCAACTTGGCTTCCTTCCCTTCCCCAGCATAGGATAGAAAGTAGAGAAATTGCAGCAGTTATTCTGGTATTTGGGGATGACTCCTACAACTCAGGAGGGCACAGCAAATAGGTAAGGATCATCTGATGTCCTTTTCTCTCCCTTTTGCCTTCCAATAATCTAATTGCAGGGCCCAGGAAAGATAGGGACCAACATAAAGGCAGTTATCTGGAGTTCAAAGAGTTAATCTCCAAGAATTCATTCTTTGACGTCAACCACAGCACTTATTTCCTGGTCCCCTCCCTGAGCCTCAGGTTGGCTGCTTCCCTGAATTCCTTCTTTGGTGTAATCCATTAGGGCCCTGGGACCCAGGCCCAGAGCCAGTCCCCTGCTCCCTCCTCAGGTCCTAGGAGTCTAGGGATTGCTCCGAGGAAATAAGGAAAGTGGGCTTGCTGTAAGGGAGGAAGGAAAGTGGCCTTTCCCTGGATCTCTCCCTCCTCCCAGGATTTGGGCCCTAGGACTAAAGAGCCTCTGTCTTTCCCTGCCACACCCCCCACCACCCATTGTAACTCAAACAAGGGGATTCCTTGTGTCCCAGTCTCTGGGCAGGTCCTTGTGACCAAATGGTGGAGGGTCTGGGGCAGGGTGGGGGAGGGGAATCACGGGATTAGAAAAGATGACACCTCCTCACTTTGGAGGTTCTGGTACACCTCCAGAGCTCTGAGACCTCAAGCTTGTCCTCCCTTTGGCTCCCATAAGCAATGGGGACTCATCTGCATATAAAAGGCCTGAGGCCTGAAGTGAAGTGGAAACCGAGGTGTGGAGACACAAAGGCTGAATGAACCTTTTGGCACACAGATTTGGAGCCAGAATACAAGAATGGAGGCAGCCCAGGGACAGGGTAAAACAGGGGACTGTGGCAGGGCAGGCCAAACATAATTTTGAGAGCAGTAGGTGGAGGCCCTTGCCAGTTTCCCTCCCCCAAAAGCACAGATATAGGAGTGCTGGCACCACCCAGGGATGTAATCACAGAGGAAGGGAGACCCCCTAGGATAAAATGAGAACACCCTGTTTAAAAAAGTATAAGCCCTTCTGAGCACAAACATTTGACTATGAGAAACTTTCTTGCCAAGAGGGGTGGTATGGTCCCCCTTACAAGAAGTAATGGTATGGAGAATAAATGACATGGTCTCACTTAGCAGCAGAGGTTTATATACCACTATCCTGACCTATCACCACCAAAGGACTGTTACAGTAGAAAGGCTAATCCACCCTGGCAGGAAATGACTTCACTCACAAAATGGTGGTTTTACCACCCCCAAAGGTTTCTAGGAAGACCAATCTATGGAGGGTTGGTCCTTAGTGACCATGTTCCTCCACAATCCTCCATCTTGGCCAAGAGGGGAGCCAAGACATCGGGTGAGGTAATTATACCTCCATCCCTTCATCAGTGATCTCCTAAGGGTCCTAAATCCCTCAGATCCTTATGTAGTTATGGGTGAAAGGGGAAGAGTGACCATCACACCGGGAGCCACAGGTCAAGCCTCTAGAGTTAATGTATCTATGGAGAGAGCTTTAGGGACCCAATAATTGAGGGATAGAGGCATAGCCTCCCCAGGGACCAGAAGAATGGTGAGACCAGGTTTCCATGGTAACTGACTTCAATGCAGTTTCTTCCTAGTCCCAGATTGAGGGAGAATAAATTTCAAGGGAGACCAGGGCCTAGTGAAGAAAGAGCCACAGCAATACAAAAGGGTGGAAATGCTGTTACAGGAAGGTCACATCATCCTGGCACTGTCCCCAGTACCAGTGGACCTCAAAGCCCTGGTTGGCACTTTCATCCTCTGGTGGCTCAGGAGGTCCACCTTGGAGTCCCTCATCTGGGGGCTTCCACACAGCCCTCAAGCTCCCTAGCTTGGTGGCTGTCAGGTCCACCTCAGTCCTGGCCCTCTCCCCACTGGGTATAACCTTTGCCCAATCCATCTCAGGATGGGGAGCCCTAAGGGAGCCCTGTTCATCCATTTCATTGGGGGCCACAGTGTCCAGGAAGCTGCCAATGGAGACACTGTCCAGCCGGTCAGTGGAGCTGATGTCTGGCAGGCTGTCCCAGCTGCCTCGTCTTGAGTGGCCTGGGCTCCCGCCTGTTAGGCTATATTGACTGCTGGTGAGGCTGCTGCAGTGGCTGGTCAACGTCCCCCGCTCTTCCAACAGCCAGCGCACCGCCTCAATGCCCTCGTTCAAAGTCACCAGCTGCTGCAGGATCTTCACATCAATGGCTCGCAGGTAAGCCTGGGGGAACACGAGAAGGCATCAGTCCCAGGTTCTGGGCCATGCATTTCCCAAATGTTTTCAGTAGTCCATACTTGTGGTCTAACCAACTGTGTTTCACTTTCAAGAAGCATAGAGCCCTGGCTGGTGTGGCTCAGTTAGTTGGACATCATCCGATGCATCAAAAGGTTGCAGATCCAATTCCTGGTCAGGACACATGCCCAGGTTGTGGCATCGCTCTCACATTGATGTTTATTTCTCTCTCTCTCCCTCTCCCTTCCTCTCTCTCTCAAAATCAAGAAAATTTCTTTAAAAAAAAAAAAAAAGGAGCATGGAAATAGAAGGGTTTGGAGTGTGGGCTTAGAATCAGACAGATTATTATTTTTAAATCTCCTCTTCTAGCACAGCTAGTGTGGCTCAGTGGACTCAGCGTCGTTCCATGGACTGAGAGGTCCCAGTCTGATTCCGAGTCAGGACACATGCCTAGGTTACAGGCTCAATCCCCAGTGGGGAGCATGCAGGAGGCAGCCATTGATGTTTCTCTCTCACATCAGTGTTTCTATCTCCCTCTCCCTTCCTCTCTCTCTAAAAAATCAATTAAAAAAAAAAAGTGAGCTGTAAAAAAAAAAAAAAATCTCCTCTCTACCACTGATTATACCACTATGGCCAACTTTCTTATTTTCTTTCAGCCTCAGTTTCCTTGTTTATAAAATACGGCTAAATCACTCACTTCACAGTGTGGCTGTGAGAATTTTGAGATGCTGTCTATTAAGTACTCAGCACAGTGCCTGGCACAGAGTAAGGTCTCAGTAAATGTTAAATATTGAATTCTGATCCTCCTGAGCTTTGAACTTCATAGGTTGGGTATTACTATTAACTGTTGAACTGGGCCCGGCCAGTGTGGTTAAGTTCCTGGTCAGGGCACATGCCTGGGTTGTGGGCCAAATCCCTGGTGGGGGGCATGCAGGAGGTGGCTAATCGATGTTCTCTCTCATCAATGTTTCTATATTTCTCTCCCTCTCCCTTCTCTCTCTCTCTAAAATCAATAAAGGGGGGAAATTAAAAAAAAAAAACACAAACTGTTGAATAGGTCCATATTCATCAGTAAGACTTAGAAACAGCCAAAGAATAGTCTGATAGGAGGCCAGGTGTTAACTGGAAGGTAGACTGACCAAAAGAAGACAGGAGCGAGGAATAAAGAGGGAGTTAACCTGGTCCCCTAGTCCATTCAGGGTGTTGGTAGCAGTTGTTAAGGGCGGGAAGAGTTGGCTAGAGCTTTGTAGGGTCAGAATCTCTCTGACCGGGGATTCAGGGCTTCCCTCCACTACACATACTAGTCTCCCTGTTTGTGCTGGGAGTAAGTCTGACTTACTGGGTAATCTCTAGGGTCCCTTCCAACTCATATACTGAATTATCTTCCCCAAGCACAGGTCTAACCCTGTCCCCCCTCCCTTGCTCAAGAGCCTTTACAGGCTTTGCACTGCACTTAGAGAATAAAATCTAAACACTTAAGCAGCTGGCATTCAAAGGCTGTCATAATACGGCTCTTGCCCATCTCTCCTTTATTTATTTATTTGTTTGCATTTATCTTCAGATAGAGTGGGAGAGGGAGAGGGAGGAAGAGAGAGAGAGAGACACATGGAGTGGTTGCCACCCACATGACCCCAACCAGGGCCGAGGACAAACTGCAACCGAGGTACGTGCCCTTACAGGAACTGAACCCAGGACTCTCCGGTCCACGGGCTAACGCTCTAACCGCTGAGCCAAACTGGCCAGGGCTTGCCCATCTCTCTAGCTTCACTTCTAGCATACCTCCTTGGGAATCCCAGGTTCTGCCACACATGACTTAAAGTTCCTTTTATTTAATATTACTTTTAATCAAAGTAACAGACAGACATAGATTAAAGAGGCAAATAATTCTGCATGATTTATAATGAAAAGTAACAGTGCCTTGGGAGGGGGAGGAGGCTATCAGTGGGGGGAAAAGGAGAAACATCTGTAACAAAAATTAATTAATTAATTTTTTAAAAAGTAACAGGTCCTCATCGTTGTGCTAAATACCACTTCCCAAAGACAACTATTAATTTTTTTAGTTGCTTATTTTGATATTTACCTTCTAATTTCCAAACAACATGCTATTTACTGATTTTTAACTCTTAGTTGTTTTCTATTGACTTTCCACACGATAGAAGGTTAAGGATTTAACTCTTTCAACGTATTCCCCATTCTTCTGCTACACAGGCACCCTTTTCCAATTCCCCAATATATACAATAAAATTAATTATTCAGCGTTTACCTTATTAAAATTCAGAAATACTATTCGCAGCTAAGCCATGAGGTTTACTCCAGTTACTTTTTCTTTCTCTTTAATCCTTACTCAAGGATATCTTTCTACTGATTTTTAGAGTGGAAGGGAGGGAGAAAGAAACATTGATGTGAAAGAGACACATTGATTAGTTGCCTCCCAAATGACCCCAACAGGGGCTGGGATGGAACCTACAACCCAGGTACATGCCCTTGACCAGGAATCAAAACCACAACCCTCCAGTGCACAGACCGACACTCTAACCACTGAGCAATACCATCCAGGGCTGATTCCTGATCCTTTGTATGTGACCATCTTCCCACTCTTTTTTTAAAATCCTCACCTGAGGATATTTTTCCACTTATCCTCAGATAGAATGGGAGGGAGGGAGAGGGGGAGAGAGAGAGAAAGAAACATTGATGTGAGAGACACACTGACCTGTTGCCTCTGGCACGACCCAGACCAGGGCCAGGACACAACCAAGGTACGTGCCCTTGGCTGGAATTGAACCTGCGACTCATTGGTCCATGGGGCAACACTCTACCGCTGAGCCAAATCGGCCAGGGCGATCCTACTCTTTATGTAGGTTGTTAGGATCTTTGTTCCCAGTGTTCTAAATTATCACAGTAATTTGCCATGGTGGGGGTCTATTTTCATTCATTGAATTGGCCACTTGTTGGGCCCTTTTAATTTATAAACTCATGTCCTTTACTTCTGGGAGATCTTCTTTTATTACATATTTAATAATTATTTCTCCTTCGATATTTTTCTCTTCTTTCTGGAAAACATTATTTGGCTAGAGGTCATTTGGGCTGATATTTTTTTTCCCCTTCTTCCATCTCTTACTATATTTGTTCTAGTTTCTAAAATATTTTTACATTATTAACACTTTTACTGAGTTTTTCATTTTTTGTCCTATCATGTATTTATTTCCCAAAATTATTTCTAGTTTTCTGAATGTTTTCCTTTTTTATAGCTTCCTGTTTTTGTTCACAGTGCAATATTATCTTTTCTCTCTTCAAGGATATAACTAATGATTTTTTTAATCCTCACCTGAGGGCATTTTTGCATTTATCTTCAGATAGAATGGGAGGGAGAGAGGGAGGGAGAGAGAGAGAAACATCGACTTGAGAGAGACACATCGAGTGGTTGCCACCCACACAACCCCAACTTGGGTCAGGGACAAACTGCAACCAAGGTATGTGTCCTTAAAGGGAACTGAACCCAGGACTCTTGGGCCCTCAGGCCGACACTCTAACCACTGAGCCAAACCGGCCAGGGCATAACTAATGATTTTTATAAGTTCTCATCTCCCTGTATTATTTCCATTTTATTCAAGTTGCTTTTTTCTCTTTGTTTAGGTCTACATGGTTCAAGGGTCTCATCAGATGTCTTAGGATCGTTAGCTACTGCTCACACTTCAGAGTGGTCTTTAAAAAACTGATTGGAAACTGAGTGTATGTATGAGGCTTGCCAACTATGAATCTCACGAAGAGTTATCTTGCTGGGCTCTTTGATTGGGTAAGGCCTACAATCAGTATTTTTTTCTCTTGGGTTCACCATAGTCACTATATTATATTCATCTAGAGAGTATAATGTACAATGTGAGGAAAGCTGCCAATATTCTGAAAGCCAAAGGCTGGGAGGAATTTTTCATAACATTGGGTATATTTTCATGTAATCCCTCTTGTCCTCAACTTTGCTTGGTGTCTCCCAATTGGGAGACTTCAGTTCTATTATTATTATTATTATTATTATTTTTTTTTATCCTCACCCGAGGACATTTTTCCATTTTTTGCACAGATAGAGTGGGAGGGAGAGAGAGAGAGAAACATCGACGTGAAAGGGACACATTGAGTGGCTGCCACCCGCATGACCAACCAGGGCCGGGGACAAACTGCAACTGAGGTACATGCCCTTAGCGGGAACCAAACCCGGGTCTCTCCGGACCGCAGGCCGATGCTCTAACCGCTGAGCCAAACCGGCCAGGGCCAGTTCTATTATTTTTAAAATACAATATATATCACTTGATAAATGTTTATTATTCAGGAAATACTTGATTTACTCACATCTACAATGATTAACCAAAGTAAGACAAAGTATTTGTAAACTGAGAAAAATTTAAGCACTGGAATTAAACAGACCTGGATTCAAATTCCATTTTGGGCATTAAGGAGCTACATAAAATAAGAATTTTTTTCTCCTTCACCTTCATTTCTTCATTATAAAATTAGGATACTATCTAATTTAAAGGTTTATTTTATGAAATGCAAGGAACATATTAACATGCATAGGATATTGCCTGATAAGTATTAAATGGTAACTATTTGGGTCTTTTTTATTGTTGTTTTTAATCCTCACCCGAGGACATTTTCCCATTTTTTGTTCAGACAGAGTAAGAGGGAGAGAGAAGAAAAGAGAGAGGAAGAAACATTGATGTGAAAGGGACACATCAAGTGGCTGTCTCCCACACGACCCATCCAGGGAGGGACAAACTGAAACCGAGGTACGTGCCCTTAGCGGGAACCGAACCCGGGTCTCTCTGGACCACAAGCCAATGCTCTAACCACTGAGCCAAACCGGCCAGGGCAACCATTTGGTTTTATATTTACTATGGTTAACTTATTTACTATGGCATAAGCAGAGAACAAAATTTTGTACTTGAAATTATTTGGATTTTTGGAAGAATATCACAACTCAAGTTCAATTAAATTAT